AATGCATTGCAGACTTAGGTTTTATACATACATATATATATTCTGGTGTAAGTGTATTGGTTTTTGTTGTTCGCCATCTAGGCAGCAGCAAACACCGCGTCGTTGAAGATGCCGCGATAATGAATTGCATTACTGCCTTAAACGAGGCCTCTTTACTTTTTTTTTTAACTCTCTCTCTCTCTTTCTTCTCCCTTTTTATCATGGAATTATTGTGCTTCACGGAAGAAGCGCTTTACTACAAGAAATACACCCTATTCTTTTTTTTTTTTTTTGAAAAAAAGGAAAAAGAAAGAACAAACTCAACGTGCGTTGTTTCTCACGGAACACTAATTCCTCGATGGTATTACTTTCATTAGTCGGTAATTAATATAAGGGGGGAGAAAAAATTAGGCTGGTTAGACTAAAAATATATTTTTACTTTTCAAACAAAAGTTTTTATTAATTTAATTGTAATTCAAGACAGTTTTCCACTTGATATTCTGTTATATTTTACTGAAAAGTGTAGAATTATTACTGATTTTGAGGCTAATCTGCTTTTCAGCAGTAGGTAAAACAGATTTGTTCTGCTTTATCAACAGTTGGTAAAACAGGTTTGTCTCTGTTTTATCAGCAGCCGGTAAAACAGATTTGCTTTCCTTTCTTCAACAGTCGGCAAAACAGACTTACTCCGTTTTATCAATAGTCGGTAAAACAGGTTTGGTTTCTTACAATAACAATTGGCAGAATAAATTTGCTTTGTTTCATTAACAGTCGGCAAAACAGATTTGCTCTGTATTATCAGTCGATTAAACAGATTCGACTGTTTTTAACGTAAAACAAATATGTCCTAGTTCATCAGTAGATGGTAAAACAGGGTTTGTTCTGTTTTATCAACAGTCGGCAAAACAGTTTTGCTCTGTACTATCAGCAGTCGGTAAAACAGGTACATTTCTACTTTTTCAATAAAATTCTACTTAATTAGAATATAGAATAAAGAGCTTCAGTTACTAAATTCTAATTACTTCCATAACTAAATTTCATTGATTCTAAAAAGTTAATTTGAAATTTAATTTCTACAATACTCAATTTTATTCAAAATTGACAACATTAAATTGTAGTAAAATTATACAATTATTATAGTGAATATTTTATATACATCTGTTTTGTAGATGAAAGCATTCATGTTGCAAGGCGACGACATTGCGGAAAGTACTCGTGTCATGTCGATTAATTTGATCGTAACAACAACACGAGCATGAAAGTTTCCAATGTCGAAGGTAAAGATGGCCTTTTTTTTTCTTCTCGAGTCGATTTGAAATCTTGCAAGTCTCTCTCTCTCTCTCTTTTCCTCTGTGTGATCACTAAAAGATGCCGATCAAGATCAACTTTATGGCAACTTTCATCAGATATAATATTTACTGATGTTCTTTTGCAAGGCGGGACCTTATGAGGTGCAGTTGCATATCACGATATAAACAAACGTATATTGTCCCTCCAATAAAATGATTGTTGGTAATCGATCTTTCAACATATTTTTTTAAATTCATTTTGCCCCATCACCACGTGAGCACAACATTTTTTTTACTACAATTTTTTTTTCAAATTGAAAACTGAATTTTTTTAATTTGCCTAAGAAATAAAGGAGAATATAAAAATAGTCTAAGGTCAAGGTAAAATTGGCCAATTTTAATGTCATACGATGAGAGAGAGAGAGAAAAAAAGAGAGAAGGAGATTATAGTAGATGGTGAGATAGTTATACAGGAAATAGGATTGGTATAATTGAAGCATTTTAAGGCGTGGTTTAATCTTTGTTTAATATAATTTTTCATCACGAAATCACTCTCAATCAAATCAATCAATTTAAGAAAAGAAAAAGAACAACACAGGGTGTGTTGAATTTTAAGATGAAAAATTTATTTAATTAACATTACCTTCGACGCATGACCATGTTTAGAAGAATGATTGTATATATATATATATATATATATATATATATATATGGTATCAATTTATTTATTGTACATTTTGATAGAAAGAAAGTGAGAGCCGTCAATTAACATCCATCGGTAATATAATCCTTTTAGAAAACTGATAAATTATAATTTATGACAACGATAAATTATCATCTAGTCAATAATATTAGAATCTAATCAAGAAAACTTGTTAGACTAGTTTATTGTTTTTTTTTTTTTCTTTCATCTGGAAAAATAATATCACACACACACACACGTGATTGAAGGGTAAAAATAATAAATAAACTGCAAATCATCACTGTCAATGAACTTGGGTTTCTTTAATGATAGTAATCACAAACGAATAGAAATGGTTTTTGAATTTGTATTTTTTATTGCGCGGGAGGTTTTTAAATAGCAGTTGGAGAAAATATATAAATCTTTTGTAAATGAAAAGAAATGTAATAGGCGTTCCCATCTGTCAGTGTAGATTAAACCATCAAGCGGTTGAAATGCAGACGTCGTCATTCGTTGAAGGATAATTAATTTGCAGACTAGTGAATGTTCCCTAATTGCATTGCGATTTACGATTCAGTTCTGTGTGGCACTAACAAATAATTATGTCATATCCACTGCTGCCTAATTGCTTATCTGGAGTATAGACGTGGGCGAGGTCTGTGTTTTGTTACAACGTGCACTTTAAAACACCTTCTAATTGCTTATGCAAGAACGTGGGAGCAATTCTATTGGAAAAATGTAAATTTGTATCAAATTTCAGGTAAAAATGACCTAGAGGAATTAAATTTTACAATAAAATTAATATTCAAATGATAAAAGCCAAAAAAAGCCAAAACAGCATTGCAAATAAAGATGCTTTTTCGCAAATAAAAAAAATTTCTCCTCAAAACAAGTCTTACCAGTCGTGTGTGGATTTTTGATCTTGTGCTGATATTTTCTTGACGACCACCCTGTAGTGTCACATGGTTTACTAGTTACCAAGAACCTCACCCATTGCTACCAACTTACTGATATATAAATATATTACATTCTTCTGTTTTTATAATACACGACCGTTAAATTCTTCAGTTAAAATAACTCAACACTCTTTCATTCTGCATACGAGACACAATTTCAATCTTGATTAAATTCCAGAACCTGCATTCCATATCATTTTCAACTGGACGGTTTTATTTTAAACCTCACTTTACACAATTTCGTCGAAATAAACTTAATGTACAAAAATGCAAACGTCTTTAAAAAAAAAAAAAGTTTCTGAAATATTAATTCTGAAAAATTTTAGTAAAAGAAAAACAGGAATTAATTAATTGGAAATTTTTGAAAATCCAAACAGCCGAAAAATACAAATTTCCCATATATATATAATTTTATCTCTCTATTTGAGAAAAAAATATTGCATAATTAGACTTCTTAATGGGTATAAATCACAGTATAATTACTACTACTACTACTACTATATTTATACTCTCATTGCGCCTTTACAACTTTTGAAAAGGCCTTTTCCTGGTGCAATGTTCTGATGTTCTTAAAATCTTCAGCTTTCAACTTCACGCTTGAAAGGTGATTCATAGCCTTTATGAAAGTTTTGATTCATTGCGTAGATTTCTCCAGTATTTTATTAAATCATTAACACTCAATAACTATTACCGATATTGTAAAGCTAAATTTTCATATACATTTAAAAAATTCAATTCAAATTGTGCAATTTCAATATATGAGGTACCATTTAGTTCTTTTAATCGCGCTTGCTCTATATTTACAAGACTGATATCGGGCCTTTTGATATGAAAGTTGCGGTGAAAGTGAACGTGAAGGATGAAACATTCACGATTCACTTTTTCCTTCTATATCTATATATAAATGTGTGTATGTATATTTGCATAATAATAACAACAATTTCCGCAAAATTTTCATCTTATCAAAATTATCACCTTTCTATAAAATAATGACAATTGTTGCCAGTGAAAAAAATTCATAACTAGAATTCTGGTGAGTCGAACCGGAATATTAATTCTACCCTTAGTACAATGAAACAAAAAAATTTATTTGATTCAAATAATCAGTTGCTTTACTATCAAATTAATATTTCTTTGAACCAAATAATTTTTGGGTCAATTAAAATTGTTTCAACTACGGAAATTATTGGTTTGAATGCTGTTTATTTGATTTTAGTAAAAATTATTTGCTATACAAATCAAAGATATTTGATACAGATAAATATTTATTTGCTAACAGATTTGTTAGACATAAAAACTATTTGATACAAATCAAAATTATTTGATACACATAAAAATTTGTTTCATATAACAGATTTGGTATGAACAAAAATTATTTGATAACAGATTCGCTACAAATCAAAATTTTTTGATGCAAATAAATATTTATTGAATAACAGATTTGGTACGAGCAAAAATTATTTGATAACAGATTCGTTACAAATCAAAATTATTTGATACACATAAAAATTTGTTTCATATAACAGATTTGGTATGAACAAAAATTATTTGATAACAGATTCGCTACAAATCAAAATTTTTTGATGCAAATAAATATTTATTGAATAACATAATTGTTACAAATAAAAAATTGTTGGCACAAATAAATATTTATTTGCTAACAGATTTGTTAGACATAAAAACTATTTGATACAAATAAATATTTGTTTGATAACAGATTTGGTATGAGCAAAAATTATTTGATAACAGATTCATTACAAATCAAAATTATTTAATAACAGATTCGCTACAAATCAAAATTTGTTGATGCAAATAAATATTTATTGAATAACAGATTTGTTACAAATAAAAAATTGTTGGCACAAATGAATATTTATTTGATAACAGATTTGTTGCGAATAAAATTATTTGATAACAGATTATGAATACAGAAATTAGTAAAAAGTAGGAAATACTAATAAATAAATTAGGTATAGTAAATAATAATTAATATTATAAAGAAATTAATTTTAACGCAAACAGGACAAATATTAATTAGAATATGATAAATTATAATCATTATTAAAAAAAAATTTTCTTATTTTTCTGTTACAGGGAAATGAATCTGTGGTTCCAAAAGGTTGGCCTCTGACTCTAAATGGAAGTGGTCTTGTCTTACGATTAGGAGAAGTTGAGGCATCATCATTACGTCTTGGGGAATGTTACCTTTGCATCAGGAGTGCAGCTGCGGTCGCAACTGCGAAAACTCCTTCCGCAACAACGGCAGCAGACGCTGAAAACGTGGAAGAAAACACTGTTGAGGTATATATATATATGTATATGTTGTTTTACATGCACGACTTTCCTTTTGTGTGATGCTGCGAGATTTTTTATTTCTCACGAGCTTTGCGATGACCGCACCACACAAAATTGTATACGTATATATGTATGTTGTCCTTGTTACTCTTTGTTTTCAAGATTACTTCCTGAGAGTTTGCTTGCGGTTGAAACACGTCGGTTAAATTCCTATCGTTTGTAATGCCTGTTATACTAAAATTGGTATAACAGATCTCTTGACAATACCTAATGAGAATATGTTACTGTTCACTTGGAAAACAAAGGGAAACGGAAGAACCTTTTCAATCTCAAGAAATAATTTTCACAAACGTAAAAGAGAAAGTCTTATTTTCTTTTGAAAAAAAAAATTCTATTTCTATAAAATAATATCAATTTTTTTTTCGATTAAGTTATAACTTAAATTTAGAAATAAAAATTTTTGTCATATTTTAAAATATACTTCTTTTCTTGATAATACATTTTTTTTCATATAGAATTTATTTTTTGAATTAGAATCATTAAAAAAGAAAATTTGCATTTATTACTGGCTAAGCAGGTTTTATATTCACTTTATCATTCCTGTGTACCGTAATATAATCAATGTTTTCTTAATTGTGGGTTAATTTTATCCCTATAGCTATATAGAAACGACATTAATAAATAATATATAGGGATTATGGAAGAAGAAGAAGAAAAAAAATCATGTGTCCATAAATTAGCATAACACCTTTAATAACTTTAACATTCATTCTCTAATTGAATATATAGTTTAAACTAGAAAATAATTTCATGAATGAGATAAATCGATTCGAATTTATCAAGATTGAAATTCTCTTATGAGGAAGTGTATATAATACAAGTGCGCGACATCAATTTAATATTTATGTGAATAGAGACAGGAATGACAAGTTTTTTCAGGAAGGAAAAAAAAGAAAACATTTTTATCATAATTAATCAGTTTGCAAATTTTTATAGAAAGAAATTTTTTTTTTTTTATACTTATAGAGTAAAATCTAATTATGTCTTTAATAAACAGTTTAATCAAATAAATAAATTTAAATAGAAATTTAAATTTTATCATATGCTTAATCAAATAGAAGAAGTAGATTTTAAAAATCATTTTTCTTTTTTTGTTATTAGAAATCGTCAGTTTATTTGTACAATTTTTAAATTTGCCGCCATTAGCTGTAGTTTTGTGTCACACAATTGGCACTACTTGTACTTGTCAATTCACGAGATTTCTAACCTAAAAAAAATATCGGCCAAAGAAGCAGATGCAGACGCTTAGCTTTTGTATTAAAAGTTTTCGTGGCTGTTGTATTAATCCTGATTACAAACCGTTGCTATGGAAACCGTTACTGTGGAACTGTTACTAAGGAAACCGTTGCTATAGAAACCGTTACTATGGAAAACGTTGCTATGAAACTGTTACTAAGGAAACCGTTGCTATAGAAACCGTTATTATGGAAACTGTTGCTAAGAAAACCGTTGCTATAGAAACCGTTACTATGGAAACTGTTGTTATAGAAACCGTTGCTACGGAAACTGTTGCTATAGAAACCGTTGCTATGGAAACTGTTCCTACAGAAACCGTTGCTATGGAACTGTTGCTACGGGAACTATTGTTATGGATACTGTTGCTATAGAAACCGTTGCCATGGAAACTATTACTATGGAAACCATTTCAATGGAAACGGTTACTATGGAAACCGTTGCTATGGAACTGTTACTAAGGAAATCGTTGCTATAGAAACTGTTACTAGGGACACCGTTGCTACGGAAACTGTTGCTATGGAAACTGTTCCTATAGAAACCGTTGCTATGGAACTGTTACTAAGGAAACTGTTGCTATAGACACTGTTACTATGGAAACTGTTGCTACGGAAACTGTTGCTATAGAAACCGTTACTATGGAAACTGTTGCTAAGGAAACCGTTGCTATAGAAGCCGTTACTATGGAAGCTGTTGTTAAGGAAACTGTTACTCCATAATAACCGTTGCTATAGAAACCGTTACTATGGAAACCGTTGCTATAGAAAACGTTGCTATAGAAACCGTTACTATGGAAACCGTTGCTATAGAAACCGTTACTATGGAAACTGTTGCTACGGAAACTGTTGCTATAGAAACCGTTACTATGGAAACTGTTGCTAAGGAAACCGTTGCTATAGAAACCGTTACTATGGAAGCTGTTGTTAAGGAAACTGTTACTCCATAATAACCGTTGCTATAGAAACCGTTACTATAGAAAACGTTACTATGGAAACTGTTGCTAAGGAAACCGTTGCTATAGAAACTGTTACTGAGAAAACCGTTGCTATAGAAACCGTTATTATGGAAACTGTTGCTATAGAAACCGTTGCTATGGAAACTGTTCCTACAGAAACCGTTGCTATGAAACTGTTACTAAGGAAACCGTTGCTATAGAAACCGTTACTATGGAAGCTGTTGCTAAGGAAACTGTTACTCCATAATAACCGCTGCTATAGAAAGCGTTGCTATGGATACCGTTGCTGTGGTAGACGAACTATAGTTTACAACAAACAGACAGACGCCAAAGCGTTAATTATTTGCCGTGTAAATAGCATAGTGATAAAAAAAATAGCCAACCAAACTTTAATAATTATTTTTCTATTCTTTGACTGTTTAGATAGCCCTAGTGTGGCGAGCCTCGTCGATGCGGGCCCCAGGGTTCCTCGGCTGGGACCGGGAGGACGAGTTCATGGATTGGCGCGATACTTCGCATAAAGTTTCCACCTCATCGAGTACAGTGGTTCATCATCAACATCATCATAGCAATAATAATAATAATAATAATAATAGCAGCAGCAGCAATCATCAAACAAGTTCGAGTAGTTCAAAGTGGCGACCTCGTCGTAGATCGCGCGAGGAAACTCGTACGCGAACATGGGAAACAAGCGCCGATAATCATCACGAGAGTAGTAGATCATCAGAGAGACTTGAATGCTCGCGATTATCACTTGAAAATAATCACGAACTTACTGCTGTTGTTAAATCAAAATCATCATCAAGTGTTGATACATGGAAAGACGATATTAGAAATAACGATTGTCGTCGTTCAACAAGCAGTAGTCGATGTATTGTCACAAAGAAATCTAGTCTACCCGGTGAATTTGTGAACAGTATCGAGACAAGATCACGTGTTCGAAGAAACGCCAAAGTTGTTTCATCATCGACAATGGAAAAGTGGAAGGAGACAAGTCGTTGTGAGACAAGATGTCGTATACTTCAAGCTAATGATCTTAAAACACCATCATATTTGGAGAGTGTTTTGTGTAAGGAATCGTCGCGATTAAATCAAGATTCTGCTTCTGAGAGATTGGAAAATTTACATCCAGATCAAATTGCTGATGATGAACTACCGGCTTATATTCAATCGCTTCTTGTGACGGTGGAGAGAAAAATTGAAAGAGTCTCGTTGGATGATTTAACGTTTCCTTGTACTGCGTGCAGAAATATTGACACTGATGATCCATTACTTGGTTGTCGTTGTGGTAACGAGTCTTGTGATTGTGGAAATGAAAATTGCGAGTGTAATTCGGAAAAGGAGGAGGCTAGAACGTTTGAGGTGGCTGGGATTAAACATATTGACAGCGATGACGAGGAGGAAGTGCGCATGGGTTTCGGTGAGTAGAAATTTTATTTTCTTTAATTTGTATTATTTTTCGAGTGTTTGGTATTGTTTTAAATTGTACCCTAATTATAAATTTCTGATGCGAAATCATTCTATATTGGAACTTTACAATTCTGATATTGTGAATTTATTTTTACTGGAAAAAATTTCGGTATGTTTTTTAAGCCAAATACAAAATTGTAACAAAATGCAAAGAAGCTGCGTCACGCACGTTTTTACTATATATGTGTATGTCAGACGAAGAGAAAGAGACATTGAGAAAGCGAAAATACGTACATGGTATCGCTTGTGATTAATCAAGGACCTTTCTTTCACTATGTACTCCCACATACTTTCCTTCTAAATTCCTCGTTGATTTCAACTTCCCTTTCAAGGTCGTTTCTCTTCTTCGATTTTAAAAATAGTTTTTCTAATTATTCTTATAATTCTCTAATATTTTTTGGTAGTTTTAATTTTTCTGCTATACTTCTACTGTAGTTTTCATTTTTCGATAGTTTAGAAAATATTTTATTCGACATTTTTTTTTTTTACAATAATGATGAACGAAGAATGCATTTCGATTTTTGATAAAAGGTAACGCTTGTCAGAACAATGGTTTTGTTTTGCAATAAAGGATATGTAACAAGAAACCTGTTACAATTCGCTTCTGTTCGCTACTCAATACATTGTTTCACATTAGGAAATGCACATTTCAAGAGTTATATGTATAGAGAAAATATGCTCAATTTCGCCCACACTCGTACAGCCACACCCTACCCGCAGGGATTCGTGGCAGTTTACCCGCCTTCTTTTCAGTATTTTTTTTTTCCTCATGCAAAGGGTCAACATACTCTCTATATTTATATAATGATGCTCCACGTGTCAAGACTAAACTGGACATTGCGAATCTGACACAAAACGGATGGCAAAAAAATCCACCTAACAGAAAATGCTTTTTTAGGGTCAACGGATTTGTTATCTTCTGTTAGTTTCAAGAAAATGCTTTTTTAGGGTCAACGGATTTGTTATTTTCTGTTAGTTACAAGAAAATGCTTTTTTAGGGTCAACGGATTTGTTATTTTCTGTTAGTTTCAAGAAAATGTTTTTTTAGGGTCAACGGATTTGTTATTTTCTGTTAGTTTCAAAAAAATGCTTTTTTAGGGTCAACGGATTTGTTATTTTCTGTTAGTTAGAGTAGCTTTAATTTACACTAGCTTTCAGTTATTAAAAATTATTTTTTTTATGTAGAAATAATTTCTAAAAGTAAAGCAAATGAAAGTATAAAGGTGGGTCAAGGATTTTCTACCGTCTGTGTATCATCCTCGTTTAATCAAGCGTGACTTTAATCGAATTAAAACGAGGGGGAGTTCTTTTTTTTTTATTTTTCCTGATCATACACGAGAGTTGATTGAACGTTATAGTTGGTGAACTACACGAGTTCTTTAGTTGGTTCGATTGGTTGCATCTGTATACGGCGCGGCGCCCCTTAATCATCTACTTAACTGGAAAAAAGATAAAGGCTATTCACCTCGCTTTTGCTGCTTCGATTCTTCAAAGTTTTAATCCTCAATACTTTGTGTGTGAGTGGGTGTATTGCTTTTTAGAAAATATTCTCGATAGTTTGCTATGCGTATATATATATATATATATATACAAGTGCAAAAGACGGGGAATTATCATTTATTCAAGAGACTCGTCGCGACATGCCGTTACGATGTACTTAGAGTCAAAAGACCTTGTGGTACATGCCGCAAGAATTGCGCATGAAAAGATCCTTTCAAGAGTCTTCGTGTTAAGGGATAAGACTGACTTAAGTAAGACCTACAGCGAATTGAATTTAAATTATGTCTCTGGCTTTTTTCCCTTTCTTTGTTTCTTAATTTTTCTTTCTTCTTTTCTTATGTTTCATTTCGCCGTTTTTTTTTTTTTTGGTCTTTCTCTCCATTAATAGAAATATATTCTAATTAAAAAATTGATTCAAAATTTTGCACGAATCATTTATATATAAAAGATAAATAATATATACAGGAAGAAAATTCAGGAAATATTGAATTTTGTAAAGATGTGAAGCTTGAAGGCCCCCTTATCTATGGCAGCAATGACACCTGACGAGATGTGTGGGATTGACCATGTCCCTCAAAAGCCGGTCTTTCGAGTCGTTTGTGCTTCATTATCAAGGGGATCCCATTGACGTGTCCATTCCATTCGTTTCATTCACAATCGCCCTCCAAGCTGCTTTTATACCTTCTTTAGATTACCATAAAAAAAAATAACCTTGTCTGTTGCCATGCCGAGTGTTTCTGAGGATTTCTTTGATAAAAAATTATTGGGAAATTTTCTTTTGTAAATTTAGATTTAGAAAGAAGATTGATTATTTTGTCTAAAATTGATCAGAACCAGATTCACAATTTTGTTAAAAATTCTAGGATATAATTAGGGAACGTGTGTGTAGGGATATAATTTTGATAGACAGTTTTAGTGTGGTTAATTTGAAAAATGAAAAAAAAATATAAACCAAGCAATTATTATGATTTGGAGAATTTATTTCATTGAACAACTTTATCTGACAGTTGAGTAGTGTGGGCTTGCGTTTACAAGCGTCTCCCTTGGAGGTTCAGTCAGACATAGACGCGAGTGGGTTGCGCAGAAGTTGCGTGTAGACTATGAATGAATCCCAAGGATCGAAAGCGCGTCAATGGCAATCAAGTGTTAATGAAGCGCGACAGTTGGTGTGAAACAACAACTGCTCGGTTCGTTGTACTTTACTAAACTATTCTACACTGCAGAAAACGTAAAAAAAATTCCCTTTATTTTATTATTTTCATATTATTTAAAAAAAAATACTTTTTTTATTCCTATTTACCAACAAGAAAAATTGGATAAAAAAATAAATTTTTTTTTCTTTCCCTCTTTAATTTATTCACTTCACAAGATTGCAAATTAAGATGAAAGATATCTTAGAAATATTTTCTGTGTATGCAGTGAAAGTGTTTCGGAATTATAATTCTCTACAATTTATCCTTCACTCATATATAACAAGTTTTCGCGATTAAAATAAAAATGTATGATACACTTCAAAGGGCAATATATATATATATATATATATGAAGAAAATATTATTATACATCCAGTTATAATATCCTGTCACTATGGATCGTTATATTTTGCTACTAATGTGAAATGGAAGCAGGTTCGCTTGTCACGTTCGGGACAACTTAAGTTTTTAAAATGTAGACATAAAGTCCTAACATGAAAGTCAGAATTGCGATCGAACTGCGATGATCTTTACGATCTTGATGCTTCTATATGTGTATGTGTTTATATTGTCGGTAAATGCAAATTATATACATACGTTATTAAATATAGGGTAACTGCACCAGTGGTGGATCAATTAAGCCTACTAAATTTATTATTTTGACTTTAAAGGTGTACAGATTTTTTCAAATGAAAAATATAGGGTAATCTTTACAATAGTATGAATTAACAAGTCTTCAAGGACACTATCGTGTAGTTTTCGACCTGCTTGTAACGTTTACACCCCCTCACACCCCCATTCAACAATAAAATGACATTGCTCCAGTCGTGGATCATTTACCCCTTTACACTACACAAAAATAACTTAATGATGTAAATTTTTTTTCAAAAGTATTCTATATCGAAAGAATTGATTACTTTCTACTCTAAAAATTAAAAAAATTTAGACTAAACAATTATTTTTTAAGATTTCATGTGAAAAAGCATAAAATCAACAATTGTTGTATTGCTTTGTTTTCCTAAATATTTTCAAATGATTTTATTTCATAAAACTTATCTATACACCTCCCCTAAACGATAGAAACATTTAGTTCAATTAGAAATAGCTTATTTTAACCTTTTTAACGCTGTTGATCCACCATTGGTACCTGATCCACCACTGGTGCATTTACCCTATATCTCGTTAAATATAAATATTGCGAAAATTACACGAGTTAAACTTCTATTTACATTTGTATGAAGGTTGTTACTTTTAACTAATATATGTAATAAGTAGTGTCTACTTTTGAAATGATAAAAAAAAAAAAAACAGTTTAGAATAATTAGCTTCTTCCGTCGATTAGGATAGTTGTCAATTAACGGGTGTTCTTTTCTAAACGACAGTCAATAAATTTATGAATATTAACCTTCTTTTCAACTTGAAATTAAATTATAATTTATTGAGATAATGAACTCAATTAATCAAGTAAATTATCCTTTATAAGATCTCCATATAATTACGAAGAGAGAATTTTTTTTTTCAACTGTTAAATAATTTTTTTTTTCTTTACTTACTTTTTACCAAAAATTTATTTACTTACAATTTCTTGGCAAATTAATTTTGAAAATAGATCATTATTATTTATATTGTATTTATAATTATACACTGAAAAATTTATTTGATTCAAATAATCGTTTACTTGACTATCAGATATTGTTCACGTAGTGTTCCTCTAGCGGTAGCGTTTTCAACTAAAATACTCGCCCTAGTGATGGCGTCCTCAACTAAACCGCTCAAAACTTAGAAATTAGTAAAAAAAAAAAAATTCTAAGTAATGAAAAATTAATAATTATTAAATACAAATATTTATTTTGATAATAGTAACCAATTATTTGAATTAAATAAAATTGTTTCCATTGTATGTGTTTAAAAAAAAAAATTTTTTTTTATTTTTTTAAAAAGAAAATTCAGTCACGACATTTTATAGTGGTAAAGAAAATAAAGATAAATTTAAAAATTATAGGTATATATGAAACTATAATAAAAAAAAGGTGATAAAGTGAAAAGAAGGAAAAAAAAATTCTCCTTTTTGTTAAAAAGAACGTAGGCATCGTAAAACCCACATAAAAATATAGTTCGGTCCATTTACACACTCACACACAGCATCAGACTTGACAATCTGGCACATTACCCCATGAAGTTAACTCCACGGAAGCGATTAGGGCCACAAATGGAAACTTGACTTGGTTGTGCGAGCATTTCGATATAAAAGGGAGGAA